AGCAAATTGTGTTAAATTTAGCCAAGTTTTTCTCCCCCAGGTGTGTAATTATTTTGCCAAATGTAATGAATACCCGCATAAACAATAACCATAAGAAGCGCCTAACCACCATTTCGGGATATCATCCCAACTTTATATGGGATGGTCGTACCATCTATGATATCGTTAGAGTATGGTACCCGTTTATTAGGGTATGTTTTTTGATATATCTTTTTTTAACTGCATTTATAAAATCGTTACAACAGTGTTAGTGTTGAGCGCCAATTCATCATACTTGGCTTCGTTGTTACAGTGCTCTCCATTTCTCAATGATCTTTTATCTTTTTTATCTTTTTTTTTATTAACTAAATTTGTAACGAAATGAGATGACTTGAACAACACAATTACATGGAGCCGTTAAAGTAAACAAGCATCTACGTCCTGAACTACTTGGATAACAATAATGTGACACAGAATTCACGAAATTACATTTTTTGTTACCAGCTGAATCTTTGTCATTGACGAAAAAATGAATGATATTTTGGCGAAGGTTTTCTTGAGAATAAAGTCTGTCAGTGACTATGTGATGAACAATTTTGTCAATATCACGCGAAGGTCTGTCAATGACAATGACAAATCTCAGCACTGACACTGATCCTGATTCATCAACACTTTTTGAGCTCGAAGTGTTTAGGATCGTACTAATAAGCTTATAAATTGCTCTTTTGATTGTCGATTTTTCCATATTTAGGTGGTGGAAAGTTGAATCTCTCATTAAGATGTGAACGACCAGTACTAAATAACTAACGGATTTCACACTACATGGAATATAAGATCGACTCAAATTTAAGTTTAAATTACTCAAACTCTAGAAAACGTAGTTTACTTGTAGACTGAGTAAAATTTTCCGAGCCTCATAACTCTTTTCGAATATGAAAAAAATCGACGAAAAATCTACTCATTCTAGAAGTAAACACTCAAAGAATAAATCACATATCCAATGGAAAATATTTATCAGAATTTCACATAATTTTCTTGTGATATCATAATTGAGAATCGCACTACAAAATATAATGAACCTTATGTGTGAAATGAAACTTAAGTGATTTATCATATACAACTCATGTGATCACATGAATGTTATGTGAAATTCAGATAGATATAATTGGTTTTGTTAATGTAGAAATGTAATGTGCATTCCAAATGGAAACTACATGAAAACTTTTTTCCGTGTATTAATTTCATATGTACATCGAGATGTTGCTCCTATTACAAAACAAATTCATGTAAAATCTCGTAAAGTTTTACTCAGTCTATGAGTTTACTACATTTTCAAGAATATGATCAGTGTTAGCAAAATCATCAATCAAATAATATTTTTCCGCTCTCATACGCTTTCAATATCACGTGTGATATTGGATCAAAATATCATGCTTGATATTGACTTTATAAGCTCCTTTGATATTGCGAGACTATTCACAGCATGCAAAAATCAAGCTAAGAGTTGACTCGACACAAAAATGATTCCGTTGCACATCGTTTTCTTAGAAAGAGATAGCATACCCGAGAAAAGTCTGAGATCAAATTGTAAACTAAATTTGATGTTGTGATTTCGCTGATAATGGTTGCTGTCGTTTTGGTCGTTTTAACGGTTAAAATATAAATATTGAGAGCAAAAATATCTTCCTGTGACATCACATTGAAAACTATTGCTGCTATCAGTGAGAGCAAACTGAAAACTAAATTTGATGTCCATTTTTCCTGTTGATAACAAAATAAGTATTAATTTTTATGTTATGCTAATACAATGTATTAACAATTTTTTAATTTTTGAAGAGCAAATGTACATCAAAATGAAAACAAAATTTGGTATCAAATTTGTCAATTGCGTAAAATGAAATCAAATTATGATTTCAGTTTGATGTTGATATCAAAACTTGATTTCAATTTGCTGTCATTTTGATGCTGGACTTTGCTCGGGTAGTTTGCTATCTCTTTTTAATCTTCACCGATGTTCGTATCTGCCATCGGGACTGCTGCAAGCCGTTATAAAATTTTGGGTTGCAATTCATTAAACTCAATCTCACCACAGTTTGGTGAGATTTGCAGTTGATGAGTTTGCCTAGCTTGATTTTCCGAGCTGCGATATCACAGCTTGCAAATCAACCGCAGATAATTTTTTGATATTTTTCCAACACTGAATATGAGTGCACTAATCTCAACTTAGGGTCGACCTCATTTGTCATGTAATCGTAATTTATCTTTGCATCCCCCATTCTTTGGATGCATTCCCAACTCTAATTAGGTTCAGTTCGTTAAGGAATTTTGTGCTCGAACATGACTTTTACTGACACTTAAAATTTCGCATCTATTTCATGACCCCTACGCCCCCCCTCCCCCCCCCGTCATACGCAAAACTTCTGCTAATTTTATGCAGCCCAACTACACATATTTTTGAAATTCACAGACATTTCTGAAATTCAGACATTTTTCGCAGACTTCTAGAAAAAATATCTGGCATCTCTGCTTGCAAGTAACATTAGAGACCAAATGCCAAATGATACATGTGCGTCCGCGAACGAAATCTAAAAAAAAACAGCAATATTTAGTATTTTTTTTGCTCAATCGGTAGATTAAAGATGTACCGGGAGCCTATTGGGAGGATTTATGGCTAATACTGCAAAATTGTGCACTCCGTTTTTGTGTGTGCATTTTTTTTTAGCGTTTTGAAGTCGAATCGCTGTGGAAACCTTATTTCTGATCAATCTCATTACCACATAAAAATTTCAAGAGTATAGCAGCTCTCACAAAACTTATAACAAAGAAACTGGAACTTAACGTTTGCTGCAGTGCAGTACACAAGGAGTTTAAATTTCATGAGTGATGTCATAACCGTCCAAGATTTGTGCCCTAGAAATCTTGAAGTGATAGGGAATATCAGCCATCATTACGGTCATTGTTGGACGCTTCGAAGAATCACCTGAAGAAAGCCTTACTCATATCTGATTGTAATTTAGGAGCCAAATGTTATAGAATATGTATTCACATTTAGAAATCTATAACTTATTTAGTTTATTAATTTTATACTATGTATTGATATTCGAGTATGAATAACTACTTTCCCCATAAGAAACCACGGAAGGGTTAACTTTACTCTCTTTATTCATACGGCACAATATTTGCAACAACTAAATGTATGGTTACAGACAAGAAAATACAGTCAACTCTCTACAACTCGATATCGAGTTATAGAACCGTAGTAAACATTAATTTCTTAGCATTTCGATGGTCCCTCCAATATCGAGTTGTAGAGAGTTTTGATATTATAGGATCTTACAGAAGCACACGTTTACAATAAGCTGACAAAATCCAAATTGTGTGAGTTTTATATCAAAATTTTCGAGTATCCCGAATTAAGGAAACATTAAGAATCCCCGAAAGTTCATTACATTGATGGCGAAGATAGTCATACCACTCACAGGTGGCAACAGTACATTTTTTGCAAAACCATCGTCCAGAGCAAAATAAAACAGCCAGCACACGGGCGGTCGTATATTTCTACATTAAAAGCAAACGCGGAGATGGAGAATAAGAAAAATGTCGTAGCCCATTATTTTTCAAACAGTTTATTGAAATTACATTTTAGCTGCAAGCTTGCGTGTGACAGTAAATTATTAACTCCCATATTTTCGCATAATTTTAACATCTAAGCTTATGAGTGGTTAGTATTCGTTCTTATTTTATAATTCCGTGCAATAAACCTCAAATAAATGCTATAATTAGCCAGAAATCAACAAAATTCTACTTGTCTGCTTCATTGTGCGCAAATGTTCTGTCGCTTGCAGAAAACAGTTTAGAAATGTCATGACATTTTTTTCCGCTTCCAGTTTGTGTTTGTACGTCTTTTCTATGGTCATTGCGCAAAGTATCAAATGTTAAGGAAAAAAAAAGTTAAACTCCAGTACTCGTGCCACCACTGATACCACTAGCTCAAGAAAGACTGTTGCAGTTGAATCAGAGTATACTTACCAAATTAGTTGATGAGTAATAATTCCTTAAAAAATGCATTTGAACCTACCAAATGAAACTAAAACCTCACACACCGAAGTGGCGTGACTTTCAACACTCGCAAATGATTCAAACGCATACACGAACCCTGGCCAGCACACGAATTCGACGTATTCGCGTTGTTCTGTTTGCAGTTTGTGCGATTACCCACAACCCATAACAAACACCGAACTGGACGTCGCGCGACTACGAAACCCTGAATAAACTCTCGTTTTCTCGCGTGTATGTTGTTCACTTCTTGATTAACATTTTACGTCCATAAACGGCACGTTGTAGTTGTCTGGGTATGTGCGCTTGTTTCAGTAATAATGCAGTTTTATAAGGTCGAATGTTTATTAAATTCTTCCTTCCTTTGACTTTGGTTCTTCTTTCTCAAGTCGGTGTGGTTTTGTTTTGAAGCAATCTCGGAATCATTTTCCATTTTTATTGCTTCTTCAATTTTGCACTCTTTTGTTGTATGCAAGTAGATATGTGTGCGCTGTTTGGTTGGATAGAGTTTTCACTACTGTTATTATTATTATTAAGTAGGTACACTGGCGCTGCTGACTGATGCCTTTGCCCCTCAATGTTCTTCACGCACTGATAATTTTTACGATTTTGCAGTAAAGAAAAAATTTCCATTGGTAGGTAGATATCATGCACTATTTTCCAGTTTCGCTATTGCCACACACACAGCATTCTTCTGTCGTTTGAAGGGGAAAATTTTGCAATGGGAAACTGATGGCTGCCAATGTGTAAATTTCAATTCAATTTCACTACTCCACAATAAAAAAAAATATTACCGTTTTTTCACACAACGTAAAAACCAATCATTATTCCAATGTTTTGATTGGAAACGTCAGAAGGAAAACATTCGTTCTGAAATCGAAGCAGCCATCGGCCATCATCGAATTAAAGATGGAAGAGAGAAACAGGGATACAGAAGGCAAATGAAAAAGTTGCCTAACACCTACTTAGCACATTGATTCCGAACGGAAAACACCACCAAATCACACTGCAGAACACGACGAACAATTTTCCGCACGGATCGTCCACGGGAAACGCAGTTTTTCAGGCAAAATTTACAATTTTCATCACTCGCAATCGAAACGCGACGAACCCGATCTGAACCAGCGAAAAATAATGATGCGGACAAAGTACTTTACACTCTAGCTGTAGTTGACGATGAACTTCACTTCGATTTGACGATATATCTCGCCCACAATGAAACAAAAACGACCACACTACGCCAAAGCGAACGACTGCTATTTGTTGTTGCGATGGTAGAAGTAACGCGTCATTTACAAAACAGTCGAAGGAAAATCCACCTTCAGTCCAGTCAGTTTTGAGCGAATGAGTTGCACAAAACAGCAGCAGCTGGCAAGAAATCGTTTGAATGTGTGAAAGCAAAGGTTCTGTTTTGGTTTAGTTTTGACTGATACACACACCCACACAATCGAACGCGAATGAGCAGAAGATAAAAACAAAGTATATGCTTGCCAACGTAACGAAAACAATAATCTGACAGTTGTACATCGGAACAAAATTTGTTATAATGCACGAAGCAAAAACAAACCTTATTCCTATACACGGTAACCGCAAAATACTCAATAATGACTACAAGTAAGCATTTTAGAGGGAGACTGGGACTACCCATTAAATAAGTAAAATTATTACCCATTTATGAGTATTTGTTACTCAAAAATGAATACTTACAACTTAGAGCAACCGTACCAGTCGTTGCCATTTGCGGCACTATTTTACTTACGCACAGCGTTTCCATTTTGGCTTAATCACTCCTCTCCACACCGGTCGTTGCTATCAGAGTCATAATTTAAGTTACCGTTTTCCACACCGGCAAAACAATCTTTTGGCGTTTATTCAAAATAGCAACCGTCTGATGCGTTGCTACCGGGTTGCTAAATTTATGAACTCACTACTTCCCAAGGTGCGGATTGCTATTTCCCACAATAGCAACCCCCGGTACGCAAATAGCGTTATGGTAGAGATTGATAAATGTGCCTTATTTACTCATTGGTACGGTTGCTCTTAGTTTTGTAGTTGTAATTACTCATTAATGAGTAAAATTTTACTCATTTAATGGCTACTCCCAGTTTCCCTCGAAAATGCTTACTTTGTAGTCATTATTGAGTATTTTGTGGTTACCGTGTATATAGGTTAACCTAGAGTCGGTGTATAATCGATGTGCGGTATAAGAGGTGAGGAGAAACGAAACTAGTTGACTCTTTCATTCTGACGGTGCTCTTATGCAACAACAGACGTGACGTCACGTCTGTTGCTGCACGCGAGAACGAAAGAGTCCACTTAGTTTCCTTTCTCCTCACCTCTTATACCGCACATCGGGTGTATAATGAGTCACGCCAAGAGTGAAGCCAAGTCTACCTATTGAACTGTCAAACCGGCTACCTATCGTGCAAAGTAAACAAACATTACGATGCTATGAAAGGTCCACGAAAGGTATTGCAATAAAATATAAAATAAAATTGAAGAAATGATCATAAACACGCAGGGACCATTAAATTTACATGCGATACGTTTGGTAATGATCAGTTATGGTAATTTCTATTATTTTTTGATAAGATTATTTGACAAAATCACTGATATAATGATTCACTACAGCTGCTATTTTTTGTTCTCGCTAGAAGTCATTTGAAGCTGATGTAGAAATCTTCTGTTGCCAAGTGAAAAGAAAGGGAATCCTTCGAAAACCGTGATGCGAGTTCAACTGTTTATCTCTTGGCGTGACTCATTATACACCGACTCTAGGTTAACCCAATGAGGGTAACGAGACACACTAAAAAAATAACACACATTTTTATTGACAAATTTCCATGTCAAATTCCACATGAATGAACAGAATCCACCCAGAAGCACACATTAAATTTATGAGTCAAATGAATTGTATGTGTGGTTACACACACACTTAAATTTTTTCGCCGAGATTCCAACAGCCGAATAGTTCTGCAATTTATTTTGCTGAGATTCAGCAAAACAATTGCCGAGACTCAGCTAACAAATAAGATTTTGCTGAGACATCAGCTAACAAATAGATATTTTGCAGAGATATCAGCAAAATTAAATGCCGAGGTAATCGGCTGTTGAAGATTTTACCGAGCTAGATTAAGTGTGCATGGCTTTTATGTGTACACATATTATGTATTTTTTGATATATATCTTTATTTGAGAGATTTTTAGCCATAGGCTAGTTCATCTCTACACACAGAAAACAAAAATTGTATCAATAAATATAACGCCTTTTTAAATTGAAAGTTTCAAAAAATCCGTAGTTTCATCTACGAAAACATTTAACACTAGATGAATCCTTTTGGATTGAAAGTGTTTCTTTCAGTTTCGACTTGTAATTCTTAAGTGAAATTTTTCAAAAGAAAAGTTGTTTAACTTTCAAAAATATGTCTTTACAGCACGTTTTCACTGGCAGCACTGAGCCTTCATTTGCCGCCTTTTCCGGTAGACAAAACTACATTGCGAAGTTGGCCGTCTACTGCAGAAAGTTGGTTCAAAAAACAAAAAAAAAGTAAGTTAAAATCTGTTGGAATCATTGTTGGTTTCACGAATTTGTTTATTATGACAATTATTTTCCTAACAGAACTCCCATCCAACGAACTACTTTCCCGAAGTAGGACATTTGTGGAAATGGATTTCGAGCTTCCTGGAGGATTTGGAAACGCAGCGACATCCTCCAAAGAGGTAAGAAGCTGGAATATTTAAATGTGAGTTTTTTGTTTGTTGCAACTAAGTGTTATTTTAGATTCCACAATAATAAAAAACTGCGATCTGCATTGCAAACCACCTGTTATAACGTTCCGGTAAAACTGATGGAATGAACTCGCCGTATCAGCTAAAACAATAGATCTAATTTGGCTATTCTGCTGGGAAAAATGAGCAAGTTTACAAGAACCTCCATCCTTGGAAAGGTTTTGGGAACGCATCATGAAAGCTCCGTTTCTCAAAGTATCACCCTAATCACCACCTTCATGTCGATCGTCGTCATCTTAAAACTCGGCAACAATCTATGGTGATTACATAAAATGTTTGTTTTTGATTGTTAATTGAAATGGTAAATGTACATAATTATTGAAAATGATAAAAAATATGAGTTTGGATACTTTTTCTTAAATCATGAGAGCTATTTGTTTGAAAATAATTCGAATTTGATGTTAAAAATGTATATTATTGCTTTGAAACCAGCATCTTTTGGTGTGCAACAATTCATACGTCAGTTTAAAAACCTTGGTTTTTATTTTGACAGTTCTAAATTAACAAGAAGGAAAACTTTTTATTTGAAAGGTAACACATTTTTATATTGAAAGGTCAGGACTTTCTACCAAAAAGAACCAATGAAAACTTTTAATTCTACCAATGGATTTTTCAATTCTATTAACGATTATTTTTTGTGTGTACATATTATGTATGTGTCCGACACATAGATATCATTTGTTGATCACATTGCAAAAATTCATGTGTGGGACACATAAAAATAATCTTTGAAATTTTATCAGTGTAGGTTGCACACTGGGAGGGAGACGAGGGGGGCGACACATCTAAATGTCAATGCTAGATGCTCGCAAAATCTCACACTAGCGAATCAATCTTCTAAAAATCTTCATTCATTTCTCGCATATACTTACATCGCGCATCATCTTTTTGCAGGAAAGCTTCAGAATCGTCATCAATCCTCTTTCTATCTACTCAGCGTACGCGCAGCTAGCCACAACAAACCACAATCTTTCCTGCATCGTAGATAGAGTCGTCCCCCTCGGAGGGAGAAGCAGATAGCACACACGGAATTCATTGTATACCAATCAACTTTCGCTCGTTGGGCTAAACCTGTAGCCCACTTAGTGAAAGACTTTAGTTAGTTGGGCTGAGCTGTCAAGCTGACAATTGGTTGAGGGATACACCGATTGTTTATTATCATCACAATCCTTTAGCAACTATCCAAATTGTTCATACATGAGCCCCTCGGAAAAGAAATAGCACTCCCAAAAATGACGTTTAACTTCGATTGGGCTTCAGCCCAACTAACGGGAGCCCAACTAAAATGTAGCCCACATAAACATAGCCCAGCGAGCGAAATTTGACTGTACTTGTTTTTCTTGCCATGAAAATTTGTGCCATTGAAATCAAATCAAAACAGGCGCAGCAAAATAGCATAGTTTGCTTTGAGCGTGTAGTAATTGTTTGAGATTGTTCAGTGTGCATTGAGAAACTGTACTTTTCTGTTTGGTATTTTATTATGCCACTAGATGTTTTGACAAAACCCTCGTTAATGGTATCTTTCAATATTGATTTGTGTGTATTTTGAATGAATGGTGTCCCATCCTCGGTCCCATCAAGGGGTAACTCACTCTACCACCTTGTGTTTAACTCGGTGTTTAACACTTCAAAAACACTTCCACGAGAATTTTCTATTAATTTTGGCACCACTTCCATGACTGTTTACATTCGCGTAGGGCGTAGCGGCATATGCGCTAAGGAAAACGTTTATGGCATTGGGGATTATTTCCGACATGCCCATAGACCATCTTCTCGGATAGTCTCAGTTCGATTGAGGCTATTCGGTCGATGAAACAAGGTAGGCACTCATCTTATTTCCTTTCAAAGGTAAGGGAGCAGATGAGTTTGCTGGTCGAAAGATCATATATGATTACCTTTGTATGGGTCCCCTCACATTGCTCAATCCCAGGCAATGAGAAGGCAGACTCTCTCGCAAAACAAGGCACGCACAACAAGGCGAGATTTATGATAGAAGAATTTCACATGATGAATTTTTCCCATTAGTACGTCAGAGTTCTCTTGTAAGTTGGCAAAACGATTTGACAAGTAATTCTCTTGGGCGCTGGTTACATTCCATTATTCCAAATGTTTCTTCGAGAGCGTGGTTCAAAGGTCTGGACGTAAGTCGGGGATTCATTCGTGTGATGTCAAGACTTATGTCCAACCACTATTCGCTAGACGCAGAATAAACCTCGTAGACAGCAATATATGTAGGTGCAGAAACGGTTATGATGACATCGATCACGCAGTTTGGTATTGCCCGGGTAATGACGTCTCCAGAGCACGACTGTTGGATACCCTTGTGGCCCAAGGTAGACAACCCTTCCGTGAAGTAAGAGATGTATTGGGAACCCGTGATCTTCCCTACATGCA